GCACTTCATCTGATGTCTTTGCAAATAGAGATGATTAAGACTCAAATCCTATTTGGGATTCAACATTAAATACCCTGGTTAATGCATGAATGTGCGGTAAGTGTGAGTTGAACACATTGTAATCTATAAATTGATGATTAAATATCAATTATATTATTATTACCTATGAATGATAATTGATCAGTTGTTGATTTTGTGAAAAAGAGCTTGCACTTCATCTGATGTCTTTGCAAATATCGACATGTAAGACTCACATCCCTTGACTGCATCAGCGGCAGATAGAACAATGATCGTCCCATCGGCATTGACATTGTTGTCATTGGCCTTCTTGACTAATTCTTTGGCTGTCATGTTGTAATGCTTATTTTTGCAAAAAATTGCCGAGTGCTTTAAACCAATATCTAAAGCCATGTGACGCGCGAGAAGTAAATGTGTGGTGTCACCACCAATTCTCGGGTTCACATCGACCAGGTACTTTCTGTCATCTGTGATAAGCACTTCAAAAGTGACCAGGCCAAAGTAGCCTCGCTTTTGAAGATATTTCTTAATTGGCAAAGTGAAATCTTCGTACACTAGTTTCTCATACTCCTCTTGTTTGTCCCAGTCCACTGCTCCAGAAGTCCAGGCAAAGATTCCATCGAATCCTCCGGTTGTTGTGCCGACCCAGAATACTTCCCCCGATTTGTGCAGATAAAATTGAAAGCTGGGCACTTCTCTGGCCCCAGGGATGAATTCTTGAAATACAATTCGCCCTTTCCAGTGACAGACGTCTTTGATTTCTCGCAGAGTGTCGGACAATTCGCTTTCGTTCTTTACAAGCCAGCTTCCACGACCTCCCGTGCTCATGTCAGCCTTAACAGCGCAAGGGTAAGAAATTGCGTTTTTGTCGAGATGTCTTGGAAACGGCACGCCGACATCGAGAATAGAACTCTTCAGTTGTACCTCGTACAAGACATCCGGATGTACACTGTGCTTGTGCTTCGGGATACCTTGAAGCGCCGCTGTTGTGACGACTGGGACATCATCTTGCAGCCCTTCGTCCAGTGACTTGATAACTACGGGAGGGAAAGCGGGAAGCCATTGTTTCCAATGCTGTTGCAAGTAAGATTCCGGCTTACACTCCATAATAATTGGAATTTCATTCCCGGCTGCGGGAAGATGACGAAATGGCGACAAAAGACGATCGAAATATAGAGGAGACGGTGGACAATCATAGACCAAGTAATTCTTATCGTTTAAGAATCTGTAACCCTTAGAATACGACGACGGTTTCTGTGGAAGAAAATATGCCTCTTTCAGGCACTTTCGAATCAGTCTTCCAATAGTGACAACGTTTTTCGACGACATCATGACATAACGAGTTCGATCCTATTTACCATAAACACGTGTACGCTTAACTTGAGCAGCCAGCGGATTGGATTGCGTGACACGCGGATTACTGCCGTTACTTTTGGCTGATGTAATGGTAACCGCGTTTTACGCGAGTTCTAGGAAGGCCGAAACCCCGCAAGATGAAATTTGCTTGCAGCCCTGTTGCGATTGAGGTGAAAGCAAAGAGTGTCACGCTGGCTTGACTTCAAGACGATGGCCGCTTGGTTTTGGAGCGGTGAAGCGAAGCGATTCCAGAGTAAACTAGTTTATCATGCTTCTCTCCCGCCGTTCTAGCAATGCTATGAATAACTCAATGTTGTTGTTTTACTTGCGATGCGCAAAACTAATATCATTCAGAGTCTAAATATTAAAAGAGATTGGATTTCGTTACAAAATCCATTGTGTGTGACCAGTATTTATTTGCTAGTTCTTTGCTTAACCTTCTGGACACCTTGTAAGATTTTTTGATTACCTGTTGTAGTCTGTTGTTTGCATACCGGTTAAATCTGGGGGCCGGGGGAAGGGGCAGGATGAAGGGGGAGAGGGTGCTCTCAAAGGTTTTTGGTCGTGTTTTTAACTTCCTCTGGTCTTACCAGGAGTAGTAGGTTTGTTCTTTGCGACGAAAGCAGTAGTCTTGAAAAGGGTAACCTCGTTCCCTTTTCCCTTTTCCCGCCCCTCCCAATTTCAAAGAGAAAGGCCCTGGGAACTAGGTTGTTAAAAGGGACATCTCTTCCATTAACGAGAATTTGGCGGGATGAGTGGGGAACATGGGAAAAAATGCAACATTTCTTTTTT